GTTTGCATTGGTTTCACTGCTAACAGGCTGAGTTTGCCTCTTGGTTAAAAATGAGCCTGAGCCCAAAACTGAAACTGGCTTGATAGTGTTAAGCAGCTCATTCACTAGTTATCTGTTGGGAGAGGAACCAAGCTTTCAATTTCCTGCCTATCTAAAATGAGACTCCATTCACTAACGTCTAGAGATCCTCTTAATGGACAGCCTGTAATTACGAGAAACTGTCATTATAGTTTTTGCTTCTGAAGGTCACGTTTTAGCCAAATATCGCTGCTGTCGGCAAATCCCTCATCTACCAGGGGTCGGTCAGGGGTTGGGTCAGCTCTTCCGGGGTAATCCTAAGGCGTTCCCTGGCCAGGGACATAGTCCCTTCAGAGTGTCCTGGGTTTCCCTTTAGGCCTCCTCCCGGTTGGATGTGCCCGGTAAACCTCACCACAGAGGTATCCAGGAGGCATCCTGACCACCCGAGCCGCTTCAACTGGCTCCTCTCGGTGAATGAATCTTTATTGTTTTAAATCATCAGGATTACTGTAAACAGTAAGCAAATAATTTTATCTGGTCAATTGAAACCCGTGATCTACTGGGGTGTTTTGTGGTTCGTCATGCTTGCTTTGACAGCTTTCAGAGCTGGCTGTATCCTCTAATCACCATATTGTTAAGTACTTTGTGTCAATCATATCATTATAACCAGAGTTCTGACAGCATGTCACATGTGAACTTATTCATACACAGAGACTGTTTCCAGTAAAGTTATGTAGAAAACAGATGCTGATGAGTTTACGTGTTTCAGTGCAGGTGAACTAACACTGACTGTAAATTTGTGTTCTCCATTGTTGTATCTGCTTTGCAACGGTCTCAAGTAACAAAGTACAAATACTTTGTGAGCTTATTTAAGTAGCCATTTTGGGTATCTGTACTTCATTGAAATATCTCTTAGCCAACTTTTTACTGGAACTTCTTACATTTTCACACATTTATATAAGGTCAACCTTAAATTTTAAAAACAGCTTCCTGGTTACTCATAATTAATTTTGGCATGTCATTGTTAAAAAAAATCACACACTAAAATAAAAAACAGCATCATTTCATAATATGGAGAAATAGAAATCAAGTCAACTTTATTTATATAGCACATTTACAACAGCCACTGCTGCCCAAAGTGCTTCACAAAGTTAAGTACACTTCATCGTAGTGGAAAGCTGGTTCAATGACAAATAAAACTGTCCTTCATAGGGCTTGTGTCAGGCATGGAATCTGACCCCCCTCACACGCTCTGGTGCCACACCTCCGTTTTCTCACGCGGTACGAGTCGTCCAGCCCCACCCTCACCCCGACCGCCACTCGCATGCATGGAAAACTCCAAAAGTTGGCAGGCCTGTAATAAATCGTAGAAGTCAAGAATTACAACCGAAAACTGAAAAGCTCGATATTCTGGTCACATGGTCTCAGAGAAACAACGTTTGGAGTAGTGATGTTATTTTCATGTATTTGTTTTACGTATTTCTTATGCTTGTCTAAAGTAACTTACAAATTAGGACGTAACAATGCAATCGTTCATTCGTTCATTCATTCATTGGTTATATACAGTAGCCCTTTAAAACAGTCAACTAGACAGCCAAAGTGCTTAACAGATTACATAAAAACAAAATTCTAAAGAAAACATTAAGAAAATTAAGAACACACAAATCAGGCAAGAAGGCCAGAAAACTGATAATGAAAGTCCCCGTTACCATGCATTAGAAGCTTTCCTGAATAAAACGGTTTCACGTTTAGAACGGACGTATTTCCAACTAATTCTGTATCGACCAAATATCAATCAAGCATTCACACTGGCTGTGGTCCAGTGAGGGTCTGTATCCGGAGTGCTGGAAAGCTTCGGCATTGGGACTTTTTTTTCTGAAAGCTGCATGGAGATAGTCGTGAAGGTATAGAAATGACATGAGCCAGACAGGGAGTGAGATGTGCATCTGGTATATTTCAAAATAAAATAAAATAAATCCGGTGTTGCATTTTTTTCTGGCTTTTGTTTTAATAATAATTACAGTGATATCAGTTTACAGTGCATGATAGCACTTGTTATTTTTTTCAGATACATCCATAAACTTATTTCATATCTCATTTGGTGCTCCTGTAGTAGATTCCAAGAGACATTCAGCCCACAAACCACAGTCAGTGTGAGTGGCAGACTGTCCAGAAGCACTATAAAACCGGACTGCATCTGTTCTGCACTCTGTGTGAACGGAATGTGCAGAAGAGTAGAGGAAGGTAGGGCAGGGTAGGTGCCAGGGCAGGAGATGCCCTCAGAAGAACTGCATCTTCAACAGTTTCTTTCTTTCAGGACCAGCATGACCGAGTGGTGACATAAGCCTTTGCAAGTGGATTTCCAGTCAGCACAGGCTAACATTATGAACTATTATGTTATGAAAACATAATGTTTCTACGATCAGTGTTATTTGCTTTGAGTCACTTGTTCAACTATGAGGTAAAAGCAAAGCCGCACATTAGTAAACAAAGCCCTTCCTCCAACATATGACTTATTTTTTGCGTTATTTCTGTGTTCTACTCAGCTATGACCCGTTTCTTTTTGAGAATGAAACACAAACACTTTGGACCTGTTATCGAATCGAAGAAGTTTTTGTTGTGTAAACAACTGGGTTTGTAATTTGTGGTTATTTGTTAACACAAATCGTCTAGATCATGTGCATTTTGACAGATCAGTGACTCATCATCATGAGTCATGGCTACCCTGCTGTCCTGCTGTCAGTTTATTTGGGTCATTTTGTTTCATGCCGTGGGACTTTGATTAGACCTGGAGTCCCTGATATACAGAAACTGATATTATGCGCTGCTCTGTTTTTCCACCTAGATCCTTTCTGTAGGCTCCTAACACTGAGGTAACCTCATGAGTTTGCGTTTCTGTCATTCAAGGCAGGTGACAGCTCATGTTCTCTACTGATTGTGTGCTCATTGAGATGAGAGAGTGAATTTTGTAGTAGGGGAATAAATGTCACCAACTTTTATTGAGCTCTTAGAGCCTAATTAATAATTTAACAGGTCAATCACCGGACCATGAAAACCAATTCCAAGCATCAAATAATTCCACCGTTTCATGTTGTTACCTAAAATATTTAATGTTTAATGTTTATATCCATAATTCGGCTTTAGATTAAACATGCACAAAACACAACTATGATTTAGACTTTGATGTTTTGTTTATATTATTGACTTTTTTTTAAGTTTTTTTGCATTAAATGTTTATTTTAATATTTTTCTCTGCAGTTGTGGTTGAATGTTGAATGAAAGTCACTGCAGACTTTTCCTCATAACGCAGAATGATTTGAATAAAGCTGACTGCTGCACACAGACCGATATACTGACCAATGTGTCCATTAGAAAGCACAGCATCAGTTGAAAAAGCCCCGTACATAATAAAGATTCATATCTACTCAGTATCTGGTGTTTATCAAAAATAAATGTCACGTGCTTGCTGCACTGTGTTTTGTGTTGGAGCTAGTACAGGTTTGTGGTACAATCTGCTCCTGCTTATTAGACCCTAATTAGCCAACACATTCTCACACCCAAAGCGTCGAAAAATGACGAGTGTGACCAAGCCTCAAAATATGACGATTGGGGTGCCCCAGCGCGATGCGAGAGGACGCACTGCCCTAGAGCGTCGGTATCCGATGCCCGCCGTGAGACGGATATTTGACCGGCTTGTGAACTACTTAACCTTCCCCTCACCCCCATTCTAACCTTAACCAGCTTAATTGGATATTACGGAGTTAAGGTTAGGATGGGGATGAGGGGAAGGTTAAATCGCTAGAGGTTCGAGAATAATGTCCGTGTCACCACGGGGGTCAAATACGGACGCCCGCGGTGACACGTGTCCCTGCGCGTCCTCTCCCGACGCTCCGGGACACCCCTGATCGTCATATTTTGAGGCTTGGTCACACGTGTCATTTTTCGATGCTTTGGGTGTGAGAATGTGTTGAATTAGCAATTTGCTTAAAGGTCAAAATTCAGAAAAATAAAAATAAAAATCTCAGTCTGGAACTCTTTCTGGTTCTAGTGGGTCTGTGACTTATGCAGGTGAAACTTGAAGAATTAGAATATAGCGCAAAAGTAAATTTATTCATTAGTTCGACTTAAACTGAGAGACCATCCAAAATCTCAGTAAAGTGTGTGTGAATGGGTGAACTGATTGTGTTGTAAAGCGCCTTGGGAGAGTTGAGGGCTCTAGAAGGCGCTTTATCAAATACGAGCCATTTACCAATGAGTATCTAATATATTAGTTTTACTTGTTAGTCTGAATAACTGAAATAAATGAACCCTTGCACCATATTCTACCTTTTGTGTTCCACCGATATATTGGGAAAAAAATTTGATCACGTCAAGCAAAAATCATAAGGAGAACAAAGCAAGTGCAGAAAAAAATGTCCACAAAATGTAACCATGACATTTGTAAAAGTGTAAAAGAAACAGCAACGATGAGCGTGCAGTGATTTGTCATTCGTTCCCCCTTGAGATTAGTTTGGTTGAGGCTGCAGAGCTACTCTCTACATCTTTATTTTACACAGTATTTTATACAACTACACACCACTCTCTTCCTCTGTAAGAAAACAGTCCACAGCCATTTGGGTGGATGCACCGCATAAACAGCACAACTTCACTCATAAAGTCAGAGACTCTTAATTAACCTCAGTTATTAAATCAGCTCCCAGTTATCTCAAAAGTGTCTTCTGCTGCAGAACTAAGATACTTTATAACCTTTAAGTAAATGATGCATATTCTAAAAAATAAACTCTGTGCATTTGAAATGTTTCCCATTACAAATCTTAGTCTTAGATTCAGAATGAAGGAAATAATTCAATGAAGACATGTTCGTAAAGTTGATCTTTCATATGGTTTAAAAGCAGATTTACATAACATATATTTTAAATTGAATAAATGACAAATGAGCTCATGTCTGTCTTTATCTAAACCTGTTTTGCGTTTTGCTCTAGGCGTGGAAGGCATGGAGTGCTCCCTGCCGATGGACGGCAGACGGGTTTCTCTGACCCAGCTCACAAAGGACAGCTTTCGTGAGTGCCAGGCCACCCTGACTCTAACAGACCTGCTCATTATTATTTTCTCCGGCATCTCTGTGTCCGTGGTGGCCATCATGACCAGCTTCTTTTTGGCATCAACTGTCCATTGCTTCCAGCGCTGGAGTAAGGGTACCAAAGGGGACGAGGAGGACAGTGAGGAGTGAAAAAGACAAACATCTTGTTCTGAGGACATGTGTTGCTCTAACACTTTGAGAATACTGAAGACAGGTTGGGCCTCGTGCCGTTTCCTGCCTAGTGACGACTCCGAACCATTGGAATGGGGAAGTGGTTCTGATGCTGTCTAAAAATGTGAACATGTGAAATGTACCAACGAGAGACATTCCCACCGAATGAAAACCAATCAGAGTTGTGTAAGTGTGCCGCTCCATTAGCATTGGCATTAGCGTATTATCCAGATCTTAAGTTATCGGTGGATGTCGCTTACACCCACTGGGTCATGGTTCATTGTCAAATGGCCCACATAAATATACTGGGGCCAAAGCATTTATAACAAAGGATAAACCAATTACTTGTAGGAGTTGTTTCTGCTGTCAATCTAGTATTAAAAAAACACTCATCTGAACTAATATGAACATAGTGGACATTCTGCACCAGAACCCAACATTCTGTAAAGTAACACCAGAGTTGGTTTAAACACTTTCATTTTACCTCAAGGAAAGATTTCAACACAAATAAGGACGTCATGACAGCCATGATCTCCAGACTTAACTGTCTAGAAAGTCTCATTCACCCATATTGAAAGGTTTTTAACGTGCACTGGGAAAAAGTTATTAATGTTAATAATGCTGAAACTTCTCAGCGTTCAGTTGTACTCTCAATATTTAGTCACCAATTTGTGTAAAACAATGAAATAACAGTATATAATCAAAGATAGGACTCAAGATGAAACATCGTTTGTTCTTTAGACAGTATGAGTTATGTAAAAAGAAACGTTTGAAATATTCACAGTGTTACACAAAGATATGGCAATTACAATATGAATTAGATTTAATCTATTATTCTGTCAAATAGTACACTTTACATTGTAAAGCTAATGTTGACAAGGCTCAAGCTAATGTTGACAAGGCTCTAGCTACATCAAGTAGATGGATACTGCCAAAGATTAGGAAGAGGAATGATGGAAAATGAAGAATTTTCTCTACTTGGGATAGTATCACAATAGAAAGCAATTTGCACTTTGTATAGATATATTTTACTCACACAGTTATGGGCTCCAAAGATTTCTATTTTCTTCCTGTCTGTGACTGAACCAGCAGTCCTAGCTTCTTACATGACAGTGTTCTGAAGAGGCCACCTCAGAGAAAATGAGAATTTCAAGTATGGCAAATACGCAAAAGAGAATAGTTTTTCAAAATCAGATTGCTTAGTTCACTGTAAGATCTCTGAGAGTTTATTATTTCTTTAACTAAAGTTTATTTAAACTTGTTAGTTTATTATCAAGGATAATATGGGGTGCCGTTTGTAAAGTCAAACTGTCGTAATTTAATAGCAGTAACGGTATTTAGTCTGTCATAAGAAAAACAAAATGGGAGTTCATTTTTCAAAATCACATTTTCACCATATAATTCATACATTTGTAAATGTTACATTTCCCAACTAAAATATTTAGTTAGACCTAAATATTTTGTTTGTGAAATAACTATTTAACTCAAAATGAAATATTTAGCTTGCTGATCTAAATACTTAGTTTTAAAATAAATATTTATTATATTTTACAAACCAAATATTTGATTTGGAGCAAAGTATGTTGTTTACAAAATAAATATTAGGTCCCAAAAATAAATTTTCCAAAATAAATATTTAGACCCAAGCTAAATATTTATTTTTGAGCTAATAATTTAGTTTGCAAAGTCAATATTTAGGTTTAGCCCCAAAATAAATATGTAGCTGGAATCTAAATATTTATTTAGGAAAAAGAAAATTTTATATATTCAATTTTAATTTTATTATCCAAATGAAATATTTAGTTAGCACAGAGAATATTCATTTTACAAACTAACTATTTAGGTCAGACCAACATATTTAGCTCCAAATTATATATTTATTTTGCAAAATAAATATTTAGGTCTGATCGAAATATTTAGTTTGTGAAATAAATATCCAACTCTAAATTTAATATTTAACTTGTTTACTAAATATTTAGTTGACAAATTTAACATTTATAAACACATTGTGAAAATATGAAATTGAAACATGAACTCCCATTAATTTTCTTTTGTGATAGGCTAAATACCCCCCCCCCCCCAAATACTGCCTTTTGAATGATGATTATTTGGCTTTACAAATGGCACCCCATATAATAGTTATAGGAAAGCTCATCAACATTTCATTAACATCATTCATTCAAGAAAACAAAAAAACATAAACAACCTCCAATTTAAAAAAGCAGAACCCAGAATAATACAAATTTTGTTATATGCAATGTGTATTTTTAAAACCACCAATATTTGCTAAATGGTAACATATTTTATCTATTTTCTTCCTTCACATTTTTTACTACAGTGTGATAAATTCAACAATGCTGACATGTAGCAGAAAGAATGTTGAGAAGTGGCCGTCAAAAGAGCCACAAGCAAATAGTCGACCCTTCTTTGTGGGTAATAGACGATAAGAAGGGAAACAACAATCCTTTATCCCTCTTTTGACAAGACACAATCCTAAATGTGCAACATCTTAAGGCACGTTTTGCAAAATGACAAAAATAATTAATGTGGCCTTCTTCTTTGTTATTTTTTCATTGGAATGAATAAAAAAGCACAAAAATGTCACATTAAATCATGATTTTTAAAGGATGCGTCAAATAAAAATGGGTGTGGTTGGAAACCTGTGCTGTACATGTATGTGTTCATTTATGTGTGGTGTCCCTTGTTGTAATGAAAATGGAGCTTCTGGTTGGACTTGGTAATATGTGGATGTTGTGTTTTTACCAGAACAAGTAGTGGACACACAACTGCTGGAGATCATGTTGAACAGGCATTCAGTTGATCCATTGTGGTAAAAAGGCTTTTCAGCCTTCTCCAAGTGTTGGAGCCATGTGCATTTTCTCATATAAGAGTTGTACTAAAGGTAGATGCCATATTTCCTAAACCTCAAATCAACAAAGCAACAGATTCAGATCATTAAATAAGAAACAACATCCTCTCTGCTGTGGTTGGACTTTGTAAAAGATTTAAACATAACATCTTAGATTGACGTATAAAATTAATAACCGCTTGAATTTAAAAGGAAAAGAAAAGAAAAAAAATCCAGTTTTGCAGTTAACTTAAAAAACGTGTTTGTGACAATCAGTACAAATGTTAGAAAAAGCCAAACACTTAAAGTAAAGTAAGCAAAAGTGAAATTCAGCACCAAGAAAAACAAACTCAACCTGGCACATGATGAGCACTTTCTATTTCTTTTATTTAAAAACGAGTGTATGAAAACGTTCCAGCACAGAGTTCTCTTCTAGACACCGACTTGCCAAATGTTCTCTTTTGCATGATGTTGAGGAGGACTAGCTTAATATGCAGGTATTGCTGCTTTGAACTCGGTTCTATTTATATGCATGCCTGCTAAAGAAAAAAAAGGTAAATTCAAGAATTTTGGGTGCTTCCAGTTGCAACATTGAACCCATTCCTTGTCTTATTGAAAACTAAACAAAGAAAGATGGTCTATCATGTAACCTTCAACATTAAGCTCCATTAGAATAAAAACAAATATTATAGTGCAACTGAGAGGATGGCATTAAAGCTGGGGTCCGTGGCAGGACGCCATCAAGGAGAGAAGATTTTGAAATTTGAAAGGCTGCAGCTACTGAAGAGGAGCCTACAACCACGCCATACCCCGCGCACTCAGATAGCCTTGTGCTAATGGAGGGCAGACCAGTGTATTCTTAGGTTGAATGCCAGGCTAAATACATAGCTCCAATACACAAAAGACAACTATCTCATCATTCACCTTTCGTCTTCCACAATTAGCTTGAAGTTCAACAGGGCTTCCAACTTTTGCATGATTCCATGTCATGTCGGCTCATGTGGTGTCTCTATGTTCTTGGGGGTGGCCTTGCTTTTTCAGCGTGGGAAGTTGGAGGTGTGGTGTGAGGGCGTGTGAACACAGTCAAATGCACGATAGCTGGCAGCCCTGTTTAAGACAGACAATAATTCAATGCAGGTCAAGTCATACCAGTCAAGTTTTGGGTTTGAATTTATGGAAGAGCACGGGCGGGTGATGAAGCAAATTGGGGTGTTCCAGGAAGTAATACTGCTGGACGGGGCCAGGTGTTTCTTGGCCAAGACAGGAGACTTGGCAGGTCTGGGTCAAGTTAGCAATAAAGCTAGGTTGGTGTTAGCTCTGGGCAATAAGTCAAAAATTTATCGTTATCAAAATTTCTGACTCTTATTGAGATAATTTTTTCCATCGCAATAATGTTGATAATAAAAAGATGTGTGTAGGTTGGCAACGTTCATGTCCCTTTAAGAAGCTGTTCCACCTAGAGTTACGTAAAAATGTGACTCAAGGTAATACGTGTGACAGCCCCATCTAGTGGACAACGTTAGTTTCTGCATACCTGTAGTTATCGTTATCGAAGTGAAATCGTCAATATATCGTGATATTGATTTTAGGCCATATCGCCCAGCCCTAGGAGATGTTCTGAGCTGACAGGCATCTGCATCACCCCGTAGTGCATGCTGGGAACTGGGGCGCATTCTCATTAATCGACAGTTCATTCCTGTGGAAACACAACACAATTGGTCAATGCTCTAGGCTCATGTAAGTGAGTTTTTTAGCTGTAGAGGCCAGGGGAGGGGCTTGAGGGAAATATTAATAAAGAACAATTACCCACTTTATGTATCACAGAACAGGGTCAGAAAGTCAAATGTAACCTTTTTTATGTTGCTTTGTAAATGGTAAACTCTGTACCTCAGCTTTAAGTCTGTTTCTTGTCAATTTGATGATTTGCTCTAATTTATGAGCCGAACAGAATTTTGTCCAAAGCCTTGAAGTTTAGGGACATTTATGGACTTACAATGAAAACTGTGTCCAGTTAGAAATAACTTGTAGTTGGAGCTTATTAGGAAAACCATTTTGATGGAAACTCTGAAATCAGACCAGAATGAAAATGATCAAGTCATTTTCATCTTAAAACAGTTTCCCACTTATCCAAATGCACAGATCCTACATCAGAGAGGAAGATTTTTTACATGTTATTATTTGCAACTACTGTGTAGTTACTGTATATTAATACATATTATTTTAGCATAGCTGTTGGTTTAAAAAAGATTTAGCATGACGGTTTTCTTTTTCATCCTTATTCCATAGATTAGCAGTGTCCGACCTTTCAGCATGCCCTGTTGAGTTGCATACATTATGAATTTCAGATTCATGTCTATTTTTCTATTACACCTTTCCAAATGAAGCATTTCTTAACCATACACAGCGTAGGTTTCTGGTGTTGCACACCCTTTTGGAAGCAGAAACTGGTGGCTGCTTTCATATAGTCCGTCTTTGTATTGCTTAAAATACCAAATTCCTTGTTATGATTTGTCAGATAAATGTCAGAATGGATCAGATCTACATTAAGTGATGGAAGAGAGAGCGATGCTGCTGCTGAACAGGTTTCTAAATGTCAAACAGACACTGTCAAACACTGTATGTGTATCTGTATATTGATGTTTGGTTAAAAAATCTATAATAGTAATAAAATCTTTTTTTCTCTCTGTCCTCTGGTCTGCATTTGCTCCGTTATTAAGTATGTACATAAAATAAACCTGTGGCAAGTGGAAAGGTTATAGAAGTGTTGGTATCCACAAAGATCATCAGATTAATGTAGACATGGAATTCTCAATGAAGCCGTTTCAGTGGAAAAGGGTTAAAAATGACATCAGTAAATCTCTCGCTTTCGTTTCCTGGGATTTACAGATTTCATCTCGTCACAGCAGCAGTAAAATAACACTCATCGGTAAATACAGCACACTGTCACGTCTCACAGCAGGTATGGGTGTTTAAGAAATTATATTTATACAAAAAAATCTCGTTGTCTTGCATAACTAGTTTCCAGATGTCATTGGGATTTCTCGTAATTCAGCAATTGTGCTGCATTATTGTGCAACATTGTGCAAATGCTGCACACGGATTGACATCTAATCCGATCTCACACAGCAGAAGCTTTCTCGTCTGCGTCCACTCTCTAACAAGATATTTGCCTCTTTGCTTTCCTCTGTCACGTAGAGAATTCATTTATTCTGTTTCACGTCACCAATGTGTCTGTTTTGACATATTGTGAGTTTTGCAGCTGTGCAACGTTACAGTTTGCTTTCCTAAGTCTGAAGTCAAGAAGGCAGGACAAAAATAACCTTCCCTTCCTGAGGAGATGCAAAGTTGGCCTGACAGAGAGCAGAACGACGGCACGCTGCAGAGCAAAATCATTTAGTGGGATTCCAAAAGGGAATTACAACGCTGGATGGGGATTATCACGAACGAAAAACATGAGCACGTTAGGTTCCGAAGAGAGCTCTGTGAGGGTGGTGGTCGTGATGAGGATTCTCCTGCAACCATTTACCTCATTTGGTTGTCATGGCTACACAGCCAGAGGCCTGAGCTCTGGGACGCCGAGGCGGGAAGAGGAAGAGGGAGGGAACTAGGGAAGCATGGCCCTGCAGAGAGGATGCCTCGCTTCCCTTTCTACGCATCAACTAACTGGACCTGGCAGTTAAATAAAATATCAGCCCTTCTGAACCAATCTTTGACTTTCACAGCCAACCTTCCCGTTTCGTTTTTCTGTAAGGGGAACAGTGATGGATGGAATCAGCTGTGGTTTATGTGGACAACGTCTGTGGAGCATGATGATACCATAAACAAAGACTGTTTGTCGAAAGCAAATCTAAAAGTATACATATATGTGATAAAATTGCTGCATTTACAGGATTGTGACAAAATGCATAAATTATTGCAAAAGTTTTTAAAACGATCCAATTTACAGCATAACTCATGTAGTTTCAACTTTTTGTAATGAGAAATCATTTGGTTAAGAATATATAATAATATTCATGGGCGGATTTCCAAAAACAAAGTACCGTAATTTCTGGACTATAGAGCGCACCTCAATGCAAGCCGCACCAACAAAGCAACAGGTTTGCTACACACACACACACATACGCACACCACACTCAAATACAAGCCGCGGCGCAGCAGCCACATGCAGGTCTCCGGGGCACAGTGCATGTATGGCCATAACATAAGATAATTAGACAGAAAGACGCTACATTGAGGTTTTTTGTTGTTGTTTTAATTGAACAAAACAAATTTTAAACACGGTTGAACGTGCCTGCAAGTTTAGAAAAGAAAACAGCGCTGATGTTATAAAATAAAAACAGAACTGACACGTAATTACCGGTAATTTGCATGCATGTTTAGAAGAAAAGAACAGTGCTGACACAGCATTAATAAGCCCTGGATGATTAGAAAATAAAAACTGCACACAAAACACGCCTGGTTAGTAAATAAAACACTTGCCTACCAGAAGAAGTAATTCGCTCTCATCTTCCTCTTGTGCACTAAAGCCATTAAAGTCCTCTTCTTCAGTGTCGGAGTTGAACAGCCTCAGAAGAGCTTCGTCACATACCTTTTCTGTGGCGATGTCAGTGTCGCTGTCCGTGTTGCTGCCATCATCCCCGGGTGAAGCTGGCTTGAATGAGTTCTTCCCGCTGCCGTCTCCAGCGCTGAACCATGGATTTATTCATACCAAGCTTACGTGCGGCAGCACTGTTTCCCTCCTTTACTGCCAGATCGATGGCCTTCAACTTAAATGCGGCAACATATGAACTCATACGTGTAGTTACCATGATGAGGGGGTATGGATTTGAAAAAAATTCTTCGTCGTGCCGGCTGCTTGCATGTGCTAAATTAAAATGAGCACTTTCTTTGATTTCCACTTTTGACTTCCACCTGTTTCACTTTCTGCTAAAGCGCCCCCTGGCAGGTGAAGGAAAATCTTCAGTAAAGCCGCACCTCATTATAAGCCGCATGGTTCAAAGCGTGGGAAAACAGTAGCGGCTTATAGTCCGGAAAATACGGTATTTTTTTCTTTCTAATGATTGTATCTGGTTACGTCTGGTTCTGACCTACAAAGAGAGCAGGAAAGAAAGGAAAGTAAACCAACCCTCAGAGAGGAAGCACTGAATGAATTATGACCCGGTGACTACAGTGGAACCGGGGTTTAGGGAGAAGTGAGCAGCAGACGGGTCACATTGCAAAGTTTAATGAGGGCCATAGCTAACGTCGCTCTGTGTGTGTGTAACTAACAACAAGATGTGTCAAAAGACACAAGACACTGTGGAGATGATGGAAATCTCTAACTGGAGACAAGCAGCATGACTAATAACTGAATTATTCATATATGAATCCTTATTTGTTTAGGCAAGGCAGCTTTTTTTGTATAGCACCTTACAACAGGATAAAGTGCTTCACAGGAATTAAAACATGTATATCTGTATATCTTCTATCAAAAACGGTCAACAGGCACATGCCAAGTAAATTTCATGCCAACTGAGTTAGCTTGTTTAAAGTTATAGTAGTTTCATGGTTTAATAAAAGATATGCTTATGAAGTTCTTTGCACTAAGTCCCTCTCACATAGAACCATTTGAGCAGATTTATACTTGACATTTTCAGGACCTTTCAGAACGAGCCGTTTTAATTCAATTCAATTCAATTCAATTTTATTTATATAGCGCCAAATCACGACAAGAGTCGTCTCAAGGCACTTCACACAATAAACATTCCATTTCAGGTCAGTTCATTTAGCCAATCAGAAATAATGTTTCCCATATAAGGAACCCAGCAAATTGCATCAAGTCACTGACTAGACTTAATAAAACATATGCTTATGAAGTTCTTTGCACTAAGTCCCTCTCACATAGAACAATTTGAGCAATTTTATAGGGCTCTGTCATTTTAAAGAGTAACTAAACCCCAAAATAACGTGGGTTTTTTTGCGTATAAACTGTAAAACTGGGTCTTTACAAATGCAATCTTTCTGTTTCTGTGCATTTTTTGACATGTTTGTAAAAACTTGACTAAACCTAGAATCTAGGTCTAAAAGCGTCTTAGTGCTGCCCCCTGTGGCAGAACAGCAGTTACTGCATTTTAAACTTGTGACTGACTGGGGCTGGTACAGTTTCACGTCATCGGTACAGTCTCCTCCCACTCCCCCTCCCTCCCAGGATGGAAACTCCCCACACTTGGCCATGCCACTCTGTGCCTCTTGGCAACGCCAACTTTCATAGGATTTTTCAAATGACTAGGGGTGGAGTCACGTTTTCTGATGGTGTGCAGTTCCTCTTTAACAAAACAAGCTGGAGCTGGCCCCATCCACCCCCCACTCACACTGCTATAAGCTGAGAAGCTCCTATATGTGGGAGGGGCTCGGATTAGAGCTGCTGCTCCTCCAGCAGCAGCTCTCTTTTGCACCCAAGACATGGTTCTAGTCTACTTTCCCTGTTTGTGACATCGTAAACAGGTACTTTTGATGTCTTTATAGAAGCAGTAGAGACCCACATGGTGACACAAACTGGTGATTTTTGCATAATATGTCCCTTTTAAGCTTCCTTACATGAGTGGATTCCCTGTTTAGACTTCTGCCCCATTAAACCCACTACTGTTAGGCATACAGGAAGATAGTCAATTCAATCAACCTTAATGTTCAAAAAAATTCATAATGAGCATCAATAATTTTTCACATAGATTTGCTCAAATTGTCTGACACCGACAGCACAGAAGGTAAATCGTGTTCTCTCAAAGATCCCATTTTTAATTTTTTCCTCCCCTTTCAGAGCTTTCGTTGAAAGCAGAGAGGGTGGGAGGTGAGTGGGGGACACTACAGCCATGGGCAGTCATGGGCATCAGTGCGTGTTCCTGTAAAAGTGCTCATTCACTGCATCTAAAAACAGCCTGGCGTTCTGGCAGACCCTAAAACATTTTCCTTCAGACAAAGAGAGCATGCTGTACATCTTAAGAAGCAGGTTTAAATGGCAATAAAATGAATAACAACAGTAACATACCCTTGTACAAGGACAGCCCCCTTGAGCTCATGCATGTTGTAGATTCTGCGGTGATTTACACGGCACTTGGGATAAAAGCACAATCCCATTAATGTTACTAATTTAATAGGAGCTTTAATGTCAGACATGATCATTATAGAAATGAAGGTCAGCAAAGCAAGTCTGTAAACATCCTTCATCTCATCTATTGCTATCCCAAGGGATGCTGGAAGTTTATTTTTGTTAGGAGTCTAACAAGTATTTATTGCAAACACCTGAAAGGACACTCACACAAGACTGGCTGATATCTTCATGTGTAAAGTTATAAATAGTTCCTAAATAAGAGTGAAGCAGGAGGAAGAGTGTTTGCTGCAGTTACCCGGGGGCAGTGATATCACTCTTGATAGATGTGTGTGAGGTGGAGAAATTAATCTGGTGTGGTAAACACATTAAAGATGAATGAAGAAGGAGCAAGCTGGTTGCACCATGTGGCAGGAGGGAGCGGATCTTAGCATCTCTCCAATACCGGCTCACACGGGACCTAACGAGGTCAATATGTAGCACATTAATCAAGTTGTCAGCAAAAAACTACAATTGTGTGAAAGCCCCTCCAGTGGCAGCACATATGGCCTGTGTTTAAATTATGGCTTTGACAAGTAGAGCAGCAAGCAATAAATCTAAATTA